AAGTCCACTCATCTTAAAGTGGCTAAGTTTGGACAACACTGATCTAAAGGATTAAATCAAAATATGATTAGCCATACAGTCTTCCTTTTTTTTTTTTTTGCTGTCTCAGTATGATCAGGAGGTTCAGCTCCATGAGTTCTTTACCATTTAGTTTTATTAACACTCAGAAGATTTTGTCTATGATGTTTTTTACGTTAAGACTACTTTTGTGAAAAGTAACCCTTGTTCTCTGAGAATTTAACAGACTTTGAGTATATTAGAAGATTTTTAAAGGCTAAAATCTGGTACAATTGGACTTAGAATTTTCTTTTTCTAGCAATGCAGAAACTGCTAGCAGCCATGGGAAAAAACCTTTGGCGCTGCTGGTTTTCTAAAGCATAGCTCGTTTAGGTTTGCCATGCTAAGTGGATACATGGTTGGTTCTGTGGTGTGTGTGTGTGTGTGCATGTGTATGCATGTGTGTGTGCTCTTGTGTTCTTTTTATAACATGCATTTAAAGAAACACCACATGGCTCAGTGTGAAATTGTACTTAAGCCTGGCAAGAGTGAGAAATACTGAGTGAGATTAAAACACCAAGGAAAAGGAAAGAATGTTCTTAAGAAGAGGAAGAAGGAATTCTTATTGAATAGCCTCTTGTTATATTAATAAAACCATGCTTTTTAGGTCATGTGGGTCTGTTACTGTTTCTCCCACTGTGCCCTTACCCAGGTCCTGACAGAAGCAGGAAAACATAGACCCATAGCATTTGAATCTAGGGTACCTCCAACCTCATCCTGTCTAGGTGGAGCTACCAGAGAGGGGCTGCAAACATCTGAATTACTAGCAAGATGATACAAAAAACACATAACTCTTTGTTGCCATCTAGTGGCCTTCTGGATTTTTGCAATACAGATCTGCTAATCTTACTACTGTATAACCTGTTATTCCCTCTCTTCCCCCTCCCACTCAGATATCTTTTTTAAATAAGATATACATCTTTAGATCAATTTCTCTAAGTTCTCTATGTTCTCTAATAGCATCCCTTCATGAATGAATTAGAAGTGATGTCGGGGATAGAGGCAGGGAGAAGGGTAAAACTCATTCATCTTTCCTACAAAATAAAATGTGGTCCTTAAGTCAGTCAGGTAAACAACCACAAAACTTCTTGCAACTCCTATGAATGGGAGTTGGAAACAGTGATGTAAACAAGTGGTATGATTCTTTTCATAAGACTCCTAAGGAGCTGAGATAGACAAAAGATGCTTCTGTTCACAAGATTCATTCTGACTTCAGAGCAGTCACTGAATCAATACACCCTTCATTTTGAATAGTAGGAGATGCCAAAAGGTAATATTTTAAAATAATGTTTTTAGCCTTTTTGATGGATGTGACTTTCTTTTCCTTATAGACACTGATATCTCAAACTGCTTATCAGAGATAAAGCTCTGGGGAGGACTTCTAATTGGACCCAGGGAAGTTCTACCACAAGTGAGTTATAATATTCAAATTTTCTCTGGCTTTGGACATTAGGAGGAAGAATTTTCTTCAATCATATTTCAGTTTCAATGAAATACAGATTTTTGCTCATTTGTTATAAGACACCATCCTCCACCCTGGAACAGGGTTACTACTGTATTCTTCTAAGAGTGAACATGACTAAGCACCAAAAAAAAAAAAACTTTTGTGGCCAGGAATTTGGGTCTCTACCATCCAGAGCATGGGCCAAAATGCAACTGATCTTGTATTTTTAGGAGGGAAAGCCCTATAGTAGAAAAGAGATGTAGCTTGCATAATAGCTCTGCCTGAAAGGGTGGGAAGATGACACCAGCTCTGCTGAGCTATTTAAAAATATCACTATGTGCACTGTATCACATAGTTAATCAATAGAATGTTTATTCAAAGGTAATTCACACAAAGTATTTCTTTAAATTAAATCTTCATATCAAAACATTATATAGTTTAATCCATTGCACAAGGTACTGTTGGCATCTAAATGGTTTGGTATAGTGGTTAAGGTGCTGAACTAGAAACTGGGAGACGGTGAGTTCTGTCCACCCTTAGGCATGTCACACCTTTTGGGTGACTTTGAGCCACTCACTTTCCCTAAGCTGTACCATCTCACAGGTTGTTGTTGGGAAAATAGGAGGAGGGAGCATAATGTATGCCGCCTTCAGTTGTACAAAATAAAGGCAAGATATAAATCTAATAAATAAACAAACAACCAGGTCTTTATTGCTGTTTAGAAGGATTGGATATGCAAGGATAGTCTGTTCCATTGAAGGAGGGCCACCACTAAGAAGGCTTACACTCAGGGTTCCTGAAGATGGCTTGGCTAGTTCTCTCTTCCTGATCTTACTGAGCAGGCAGATTCAATCCAGAGAAGGATCTTGATTTCCACTCTGAAGCTGACTGGCAGCAGTGCAATTCCCAAAATAGCAGTGTTACATGGGCAGATTTCAAAATGCCCATAATTATACAGGCTGCATGCTTACCAGCTGAAGCTTCCAAATAGCCTTCAAGGATAATGCTACATAGGGCAAATTGCAGTTGTCCAATTTGAGGTGATGACGGCATGAGTGGCCATACGCAAAATTTCCCAGTCCAGAAATGGCTGAGTTAGTAGACAAGATGTAACTGTGTGAAGGCTCTCCTGACAACAGCCTCTACCTACTATTCCAGCAGAAGAATACTAGTCCAGGAGATTCAGGAGAACCCACCAATTCTGAGCCAACTCAGTTTGAAAAGAATTGTGCACGCCAGCTATAAAGCTATAAAGAAATGTGCATAGCCTGAAACCTAATTGACCATTCACTTTTATCACCTTATGTAAGTCCCCCTTTGTGTTAGGTGTCATGTCAGTTTACCTATTTTCTTTTAAATACTCAATGCTTACATGCTAGCAGTTTTTTTAAAGAAAAGTATTTTAAACGCTTTCCATTTATCTAAACTGTGGAGGATATTAACTTTGACTGATACAAAGTCCTGCAATGTGCCACACTGGCTGAGATTCCAGCAGTTGTCTTCTAATGCACCTAGAGTTAAGGCTACTCGATCTGGAGTGAAGAAAGCTGGGAAATACTAGATGACAACAAAGATGTAGAATTTGCTGTATCTCTTTGCTGCCATCTACTGGTCATCCAGATTCCTGAATGCCAGAACTAGTAGCCCTAATCTGTCAAGGTCAACGTATGAAGCTTTTCAAGGCCTGCAGTTAAACATTATCACCTGTTCAAAGCTTGGAGCTCAAGCTGGTCTTAAATGCCCAAGAGCAGACATTAGTAATAAAATACCCATGCATTCTCAAAAGTATATGTTCTAAAAACTGCTGTGAAACAGCATTAGCCAGTATAATAAAATCATCAATATACCAGCTGGATGTGTTTTAACTTATGATCTTTATAAAGTCATATTGAGTTATGTACTCTTAAATAGTAATCCCTGAGAGCATCAGTGCTCTAATAATATGCAGCATTGCACAGATGAGACTACATGCTTCAAGTGGGAATGAATCCAGTAAATAGGCTGGATTGTAAATTTAGCAGCTGCTTTGATACTATCACACTTTAAACTGAAGGCTGGAGCTTAAATCCTAGTCTTTTAAGGACACATCCACATCTATAAGACTCATATAACCAGCTGCATATAAATGAAACCTACTGTAGGTTGGCAAATGTTTGTGGGAATCTGAGTGTTAAGTTGCACTCCTCAGGCTTCAAGCTTCTATACCTCTTTCTTCTGCTGCAACATTTAGCATCTCAAGACTAGCAGAAGTCTACTTGCTTCAGCTCTGCTCACATCCTTCCATGTCTTTATGATAGTTCTTTTACACTTTCGCAAACTCGTGACATACTGAATATAGAATATACTATGGCTTACCAAAAGCCTAATAATATCTGTAGTTCTGTTGTTCTGGTCTCATTGGGCACAAAAATATGTGTGAATTTTTGAGCCTTTGCAGGCAACAGTAAATAACTATTTAGCTTTTTTAGGTTTGTGAGTCACGCATTGCAGCTCTTGGTTCATAATCCCTAAATATATCTTCCATCATGTTTTTGACAGATAAAGTACATTGTACTGTGACATTGGTGGACTGAATAGCAAACCTAATTATGCACAGAACATGCTGCCGTGTCTGCCTGATTATTCACTGATTTAGGAAATTGGCAAGTGGGTTACCAATACCCTTCCTTCCTTCTGTGTTCTCCACTAGTTTGCTACAATAGTAGACTCATCATCATTTGTCTCCATGACCAAAAGATGGCAAACTGGTGATATTCTGAGCCATGCCAAATTCAGAGTTTTATAAGACTGACTCACCATTAACATTCAAAGCAGTTACATTCACAAAGATAATGTGTCAAATGTTATTCGTTTGCTATTGTCAAATAAAACTTAATCTCAGGTGAGAAGTATATTTTGATTGTCCATTCCTCTTTTTTTCCCTCAGATATTATATGTTGTTTTAAAGCAAGTGAACAATTTGTAAATAAACTAGTTAAGAGGTTTATTCTAGGGCTCTCTAATATTCATTACACAGCACTAAGTGACTTCACAGAGCTGGGCAGAAATAACCCTTTGAAATTCTCTTTAAAAGTTGTGTGCTGAGAAATTGGGTGGATGATATCTCAAAATTTCTCCAGGGAAAGGAGAAATTTTCAGTTTCTTAAGGACAAGACTCATCCACCCGGTAATGATAAAGAATCTGTTCCAAATCCTATAGGATAAATTCCCTCCTGTGTCTTTGCTTGGGATTTAATTGTAATGTAGGAAACTAGAGAAGCTGCAACTCTTTGAAAGATTATTGTACAGTGAAAGATAGGACATTCACAGATGTATCTTGGGCTTGTAACTGAATTATGTTATTTATATATTCATTCAATGTTGATGCTGCCCAACTCCAACTGAATACCATCACCATCTTTGAAAGAATTTCTGAAACAAATTCTCTTTTATCAAATTGAATGAGAATTGGTAGAAAAATTCCTCTGCTAATCACTACCTCAAGAAGCACAGAAGCTTTTACATTTCCTTTTACTCCAATTAGTCAGTACTGTGTGAAGCCAAGCAGAAAAACAGCCAAGAATTAGAGTGCAGAGCTGAAAGAACCAATAAGTGTTGCGAGGAGAAATAGAAAAACAAAAGAAAAAAATTCAAAGGGGCAAGAAAGTATAAAGATGAGAGGCTGAGGACATACGGAAGGGGGAATGTATAACTGGCAAGAAAAGAATGATAGATTAGGACAGTCTTGAAGGCTTTAGCCAAGACATCCCAAGAGGTAGTATATATTAGAGATTAAT